TTTTGGTCAATTTATTGTTTTAAGATGTGCAAATGTGCTAAGTTTGCAATAAAATGCAAGCTGAAGTGAATTTCTCCCTCACCCCTACCTCTATGGACAGAAGATACTCCCCACTAACTGATTTTATTTCCAAACCTTTAAGGGAAAACAACTTAGGTGTTACGTGTTATCAGACAAATGGCTGGAAGGAAAAGGGTTAAACAGCACCCCCACCTCATATCTGCTCCCAATCACAGTGCTTCAAGTTTGTTTTTCATTACAAAACAAAAAACAAACCAGCAACACTAAATAACTCATCTAGTTTGAGCCTGAGAACTTGGCCTACTATCACTTGGTTTTATATCATTCTTAATCATTCACAGACCCGCTGAAAGAGGTGGTCATTAAACCGCTTCTTAAAAAAACATCTATAGACCCAGCCAATATGGCCAACTATCGCCTAGTCTCAAATCTACCATTCTTTGGCAAGGTGTTTGAGCGGGTGGTTGCTGAACAACTCTAAGCATGCCTGGAGGATGTGGACCATTTGGATCCCTTCCATTCGGGATTCAGCCCTCATCATGGGAGTGAAACTGCCTTGGTCGCGCTGGTCAATGATCCCCAGCGGGCTAGGGACAAAGGTGGGAGCTGTTTCCTAGTTCTGCTGGATCTGTCAGTGGTCTTTGGCACCATTGACCATAACATCCTTCTGGACTGTCTAGAGGGGCTGGGAGTTGGGGGCACTGCTATACAGTGGTTCTGCTACTTTCTCCCGGGCCATGTCCAGAAAGCGGTGTTGGGGGATGAGTGTTCAGACCCCTGGGCTCTCACTTGTGGGGTGCCTCAGGGTTCCGTCCTCTCCTGCATGCTTTTTAATATATATATGAAGCCGCTGGGAGAGATCATCAGGGGGTTTACGCTGGGTGTTCATCAGTATGCAGATGACACCTAGCTCTACCTCTCTTTTAAATCAGAACCAGTGAAGGCGGTGAAGGTCCTGTGTGAGTGCCTGGAAGGGGGTTGGAGGATGGATGGCAGCTAACAGATTGAGGTTGAATCCTGACAAGACAGAAGTACTGTTTTTGGGGGACAGGGTGTGTGTATGTGGGGACTCCCTGGTCCTGAATGGGGTAACTGTGCCTCTGAAGGACCAGGTGCGCAGCCTGGGAGTCATTTTGGACTCACAGCTGTCCATGGAGGCGCAGGTTAATTCTGTGTCCAGGGCAGCTGTCTACCAGCTCCATCTGGTAAGCGGGCTGAGACCCTACCTGCCCGTGGACTGTCTCGCCAGAGTAGTGCATGCTCTAGTTATCTCCCGCTTAGACTACTGCAATGCACTCTATGTGGGGCTACCTTTGAAGGTGTGTTGGTGCTGACCTTTAGAGCCCTAAATGGCCTCGGTCCTGTATACCTGAAGGAGAGTCTCCACCCCCATCGTTCAGACCGGACACTGAGATCCAGCACCGAGGGCCTTCTGGCGGTTCCCTCATTGTGAGAAGTGAGGTTACAGGGAACCAGGCAGAAGGCGTTCTCGGTAGTGGCGCCCACCCTGTGGAACGCCCTCCCATCAAATGTCAAGGAAATAAGCAGCTATCCTATTTTTAAAAGACACCTGAAGGCAGTCCTGTTTAGAGAGGTTTTTAATATTTAATGCTGTATTGTTTTTAACACTTGATTGGGAGCCGCCCAGATTGGCTGGGGAAACTCAGCCAGAAGGGCGGGATATAAATTATTATTATTATTATTATTATTATTATTATTATTATTAATCTCCTTTTGGTCTAATGTTTGGGAATTTCTGGGAGTAATATCCACCCACCCAAAAAAATCTCTCTCTCACTACCTCTTGTAAAGTGGTTGGAATATGGAGTTCACAAGCAATCTTTGAATAACACTGTTGATCCGGTATTCTGGTCAGATCTCTGCAATACATCATGTAATGAGAACAAATGCCAGTTGTTGACATTGGACTATGAATATCTCTTATTTCTAGGGATACACAGATGAGCCTGTTGCAAAAATTCTCTGCCATGTAGAAGATGGGACCATTGTCCAACTGGACCGGTGGAACCTCCAGGTGGAGAGAAATCCTGATTTGCCCCAAGATGAACTAGAAGATGGAGCACGGAAGGTTAGTGTGAGATCTTCCTCTACCGGAATAAACCAAAGGAAGAAAATCAGGGTTCATGCAGGATGGCAGGGGAATGCTGTCCAGGAATGCTAAGAATTTACAGTAGCTTTCTGGCTTAAATAATTGCATTTATTTACATGGTTGTTTACTGTTTCTAGAAAGGCAGAACTAGAGTCAGCCAATGATCACGAAACAACCCCTATCTGGTAGCAGCATTGGATCATTTAAAAGAAGTAAAATCAAAAGAACTAAACTTTTGAGTCCAGTGGACAGGGACCCACCGGTTCCTTGGCTGATGATGGCATCAGTTCCAATTCAGGCATCTTTCCTGAGCAAGCCTGTGAGCTGTTGCTGCAAAACGGTATTCTTTACTGCCTCTGCAGCTTGGCTAATGAGCGCCACTAATTAGCAACAGTTCCAGTAGCAACTTCAATGGTGCTCTGGACCAGGCAGACCTTCTAAGCCAGTCTTGTAAACTTGAGGTGAATGGCTGTTGCTACATGCTTCACCTGTAGCAGGAGGCATTTCCAGAGAAGAAATCTGAATTGCTTAAGAAAAAGGTCCTACATGCTGCAGGTGACCTTTTTGTGCTCCTTTTACAAAGTCCTCCTTTGTCTCCTTCCACTTCATATGGGGGGCCGTTGCTGAGTGGTAGAGCATGTGCAGAAGAACCCAGGTTCAGTTCCTGGCCTTTTTATTATTATTCTTATTAATTTAATGCTGTAGCTGGGAAAATAATACTTCTTGCAGAGCTGCTGGCAGTCAGATCATAAAATATTGGGTTAGTGGAACAAAGAACAAGGCAGTCTTGCCCAAGGTGTCCTAACATTTGCCATTGCATATTCTCAATTTTTATTTTCACACACAGCATTTCCCTTGTTCCCCTTGTCTTATTATTGCAGCTTCCCCTCAGTGTTTTCAATAATTACTTCAGCCTGGGATTTGATGCTCACGTTACACTGGAATTCCATGAATCTCGAGGTGAGCAAACAAAAACAATATCTTCTCTTCCTGAGTGTTTTCCTGGGGTGGAAAATGAATAGGTTGTGAACGCCTTCCTCAAAGAGGTGCTTTACCTTATATAGCAGGCAGAGCTGCAACAGGTGTGGCTTCTTCCATTGCAGTACAGTGTGGGATGAGCTTGAGGTGGAGACTGCTCCTATCCCTCAGAACACAATAGAGGAGTTAAAGCAGGGATGATGAACCTGTGGCCCTCTCGATATTCTTGGACCTCAGCTCCCATAATCCTTGACCCCATTGGCCATATTGGACTTGCAGGTTGACAGGTGCCCAAGCCTGAGTTAAAGGAAAACAGGAGATGATTTAGGTCTCTAAGAGCTGAAGGTTTCTCCATACAAGCTGCTTATCAATCAGCTGGTTTTTGTGTGTGCAGGGATTACATGATGCATGCAATGTTTTTGAACATTCACTTGGATTTGTTTGTGGGAAGGCTAAATGTCTTCCCATAAACCTCTCATTTTCCTACATTTTTAGTGCATAACCATCACTTTCCCACCTGCAAAACAATCTGTCTTTTAAAGCAAGAAGTGGATTTGTTGTGCCATATTGCTTCAATCCACTTTAATAGTCTAAACCTAAATTTGTGGTATGCATTTGAATCCCTCCTGCAAAGTCTGGAGGTGACCTAAGACTCTATACCTCTAAGCTGCTTATTCATGAGAAAAATCTCAGAGGAGACCTAGCTCCACCTCTTCCTAAAGGATTGCCAACTCCTTTCTGGTAGGGCTCATGTAGTTGTGGGTGTGGGCTGCTTTTAACTCTTCAAGGCAACTTTATATTATTTTATACAATGAGTCACATTGACACTGGGCTTTTCTCCTCTCTCATGTGGTTTAGCTATTATGCTTTGTTTTGAAGTTGTTTTTATTTTAACATATTGCACACAGCATAAAGGTTCTCTGTTACGAGGTGAGCAATAAAGCCAATCAATAAAAGTCCCCTTACCAGCTACACAGAAGGCAGATGTTTAGTAGATGAATCTTTTTCCTTGCATGGTGATCTTTACTGTTGCTGCTCAAAGTTTCACCTGATAAATGTCTGCCTGCTGTGCAATGTCAAAGAAATAGGGCCCCTGCCAATAAACTATTGGAAATCCTACCGATCTTCTTTTGTAAAAAGGATTACATTTTGCCCAGGAAGTACAGCAAAAATCTGGGCTGTCCTTGGCTGATTCTTCTGAAAACGATACACCGTGCTATGAAAAGGTTGGGGGTATATTGTGAAGACACAGGACATGCAAGGCTGGCACTCCAAAACAGTCCCTACTAAAGTGCATAATAATATTTGTCTTTGTTCATGTGAACAAAGTACTCCTATCTGTTTTGAAACATTGCCCTTAATACGCATGTAGTTCCATACAGCACAACCCAGCCAAGCACTAATGGTCAGTCATTATGATAGATGTCTGTATGCTAGGAAATCACACTGATGATACTCAAGTTGTTGTTCAGTTGCCTTGTTTGGCATGTAGCTGATTTAACTACAACCATACTTGTCCTCATTTTCATGCTATCACAAAGCCATGCAAAAATGTCCGCCCCCCCCCCTTTTTAAAAAAGAACATCCCAATGCCAGGCTAAATAAAGATCTGAATGCCTGACGGAAAGAGCGAATGCATATTTTATCGTGTTTAAGATGACTGTGAGCAGTAAGCATAATAATGAAGGGCCATGGAAGGGCAAAGGAATGAAGTGATGACAGCTGCGTGCTCATTTCCATGTGCACATGTGCTGGCGTGCATGCCAAATGTGCCTGGCACTATATAGTAGGGATGAGGTCCTGAGCTACTTTCTCACTTAGCAGAAGCATTATTTAATCATGAAGTCGTATTGCGCTATAAAGAATGAATGGACATTATTCCAGGGATGCCAGTGTGTGCATGTATGTGTGTTTGTGTGAGTGCATGCACGCAGGCACACACACACACACACACACACACACACTTTTAGAGGAGAGTGAAACTGCTTTGGGGAAAAGCAAGCTGTAGGCCTGGAGGTGAGTAATTTGGCCAGAAATTTTCCCCTCCCTGTCAATTCAGAGTTTCCCACCCCTTCAAATTTATAATAAAAACAATTTTTTATACGTAAGGTTAGTGTAGGGGACCCTCTGGGAGTTTGCTTTAGTGTCCTTGTTGTTTGTGGACTTCCTTTTGGTGACTCTGTGTGTTTCAGTCAGATGTTGTTTTCTAATAAGTCAGGAAGGTTGTTTGATTGATTGAGGGCTTATCCTCTTGCTCCCCCTCCCAGGGGGGAAACTGCTCCTTAGTGTTCAATCAGAGCAAATGGCAACTTGGTTTTCTCCAGATTGATATTTGCTATATTTAGCACTAAAGAGCAGCTTTCCCCTGGGAAAGGAGTGGGGCAAGGGTAAACCCACTCAGACCCATGCCTCGAAAGTGTGAGTCCGAGCAGAAAACCGCTCAGACTAGTGCTTTCTTGGCACTGGAGAAGTAGACTTGTGGACGAGCCCTGAGTGTACTTAAGTGCCACTTTTCAACAATGATCTGCAGATCTGAGGGTGGTTCACAACATAAAGATATGATATTAAAACACAAAATACAATATAAAAGCACAAGGCGTTGTTATAAGAAAAACTGCTGCTTTTCCCTTATGGGGTACCCAAGAAGACCGTATAGTCTTTATGTAGGTTCTCAATTTTTAGGAGAAAATAACAGAGGCCAACCTGAGGGTATTGAGAAGCAAAGCAGCTAGTAAGCCTGATCTTTATTAAACAGTTGCAACAGGGCTTTGCTTCTCAATAGTCTCTGGTTGGTCTCTGTTATTTTCTCCTACCAATAGAGAACCTACATAAGGACTCTATATGGGCTCTTGGGTACCCCGTAAGGGAAAAGCAGCAGTTTTTCTTATATATGCGTCAATACTCTTTTCTCCTTTTTCTTAGAAGCGAAAGGGTAGGTCTTCCATTAATAATGGAATTACACTTCATTTATTAATCCAAATTAACACTTCTCAGTTGTGCGCAAGGCCATGTCACATCACCAGTCAGCACACAATGGTTTCTTGAAAGAAAGAAAAAAGATGAGCAATTTGCCCCCTTTTCCATAATAGGCTGATATACAGTTCATCGGTTCCTTTTGACTCCCTTATCTAGGGAACACAGAAAACAAAGATGCATCCTTTTCGCCCCTCCTCTTTAGCCAGCAGCCAGCAATGGCTAGAAACTCAGCTGTTTGCCTGCCAGAAGGAAAATAAGGAACTGAACCATCAAGGGCAGCGTACTGTTTAATTGACTTAGTAAAGATTTCTTGTATTCTGCTGTTTTCTTCTTCTTCTTTATCACAGAAGCAAATCCTGAAAAATTCAACAGCCGCTTTAGAAATAAAATGTTTTATGCTGGGGTGAGTTGAAACGTGTTTTCCTGAATCCAAATTTTGCTTATTTTTTGGGGGGGTTGGTAAACAGTTTATTGTTTGTTTTATTGCTTTAATTATTGAGGATAATCACCACTATTCTTTGGGACATCAACCAATTGGCTCAATCTTCAGGCTCAATCTTGAGCCCCTTTGAAGTCACCTGACATCATAATGAAATTGGGTAATTGACAGTTTCCACCCCTGTGCCTCCAATAGTTCAGAGCTTATCCTTTTGGAGTATTTTGGGCTCCCATTCCATGTCACTGTCTGATTCAAGGAAACTTTGACAATGAGAAATGTCGTATTAACTGAGAGCAACTTCAGCACTTAACTGTGCGCTAAAACTCAGCCTCTTTCTGTGGGGTAACTTCACTTAACAAGGCCTTGTTTTCACTCCAGATCCGTGAAGCAACAAAAATGAAATGCAGATGAAATTATTATATCACACTTCTTTCCCCCATCCGCTTTTCTGTATAATTTAGGCAGCCTTTTCAGACTTCCTTCAGAGAAGCTCCAGAGATTTATCCAAGCATGTGAAAGTTGTGGTGAGTATAAAAAGGGGAACTATGCTTTTTAAGGACGTGTTGGAGAATTGGCTGGTAAAACGAGATGAGAAAACTTTCATCTTGATTGTAAAGCTGCATACATTTCGTGAAGACAAGTGGAAATTAGTTTCACTTACACTTAGTGAATCTTAGGAATCTGGGCTGGTACCTAGATTTGTTGTTCCAGTGTTGTCAGTTTTAAGACAGAACAAGACTTCCATGCCTTTAACTGAAACAAAAAAAAGAAGGAGAAGGAAGGAAGGAAAGTGGGCACAATAAATTTATTTCAGCAAGTGTGCTTTCTGGCTTACACCAACCTTCCTTCCTACCATGTTTATTTTTCCAGTGTGGACCCCAGTGTGCTTTATTTACCACTAGATGTAATGGCACTTGGATCAAACCACATTAACATATCTGGAGTACTTACTTTTGCCAGGGGAACATAGCAAAAATAAATACAGTATGGGCTTGCTCCTCTTTGTTTCATCTGGGCTTCTTGTGTGATGTTACATGTTTTTGTTTTTTTGTTTAAGTCCAAGATCTCATTGAAATAAATCCACAGGTGTTAATTTTATAATAAACCTTAATACATACTTGTGTGCTCTCTCTCACTCTCTTTGGCAGTGTGATGGCACAGACCTGACCCCAAAGATTCAGGAGCTGAAATTCCAATGTATAGTGTTTTTAAACATACCCAGGTAAGGACTTGTCCTGGGAGGACTTGTGACAAGGTGAGGGAAGCCTAGGAGGGGAAACCATTTTTGAAAAATAGACAGTTATCCCATAGATCTAGGATTAGATCTTTAGCAATTACCTGAAAGGGCAGTTGTTATAGATCTATCCCCCCTCTCCCCCTCCCAATCTCTCTCACACTGAATTGGAAGACATAATTGGAATAAACCAATGGAAGGGAGGGAACAGCCTCCCATTGTCCTCTTTTCTCACTTGGAAGACATTACTCACTTTTTGAGAAATTGTTGTACTTTGGTGATGTGAAGAATTGAAACCAAAGAGGTGGTGGGGAGGACTGACCATATGGAGCTTTGAAAATAAAAATGAGTTTCCTCTTTGCCTTACTCTCTCAGACCTTCTTCAAACAGCTAACTGTGGGATAAGTACGAGTGTGCGACCAGCCCCCACCCTGCAAATGGAGAATTGGCCACCCTGGTCTGCATGATATAACTCTGGTATAAAGCAGAGGTGTTCCTTCTGAAACCTTATCCTATCTGAAAGATATTTGTAGAAGACATATGCTTGGTTTTGTTGCTAAAAGCCAAGTGGGCCAGATGTTCAGTGTTTGCTCAAATCCCACGGATCCTCAACCTCTCACATTCATGCTTGTGAGCTTTCCACGGGCATCTGGTTGGAAGCTGAACTAAACAGGCTTTTACTTTGAACCAGCTGAGCTCTTCTTATGTTTTTTCTGTTCAGGTATTGTGCTGGCACAATGCCCTGGGGGAATCCAGGAGATCACAGAGAATTTGAACCACAGCGGCATGATGATGGTTACATTGAGGTCATTGGGTTCACCATGGCTTCCTTGGTGAGTCTTTTTCATTGCTCGCCTCCTGCAAGCAAACTGTCTATAAGTCAACCAGAGCAAGAGCTAACTCACAGAGAATAAACCAAATGGCAGGTTTCCAACTATAACTGAGTATGTAGAGTGAACCTTCCTCACTCCTGGTTTGCCATTTGAGGGAACAGCAAAGAATGGGTGAACACCCCTTCCTTCTACACCTGAAAAAATGGCTTGCAGGAAGGACTTGCTATCTTAATATCTGGTGCCATAATTATGGCCTCCTCCCATTTTTATTCCTTGTTTCTCTCCATGTCTTGCCCTTCCTTCCTTCCAGATTATTCATTCTGCAAGGAGAGGGGGACTAGAAGAGAAAGGAACAATCAGTTCTTCAGGGCATCAACCCTACCTATTGCTAACTGTTTCTCCCACCCAAATACCTTTATTGCTCCCAAGTGCCTTTTAAACAGCACAGCAAGTCACACTCTGAAGCTTGCAAATGTTGCTGGTGTGTGACTCTAAGGGTCAAACTTCATGTGGCATTAAACATTGCTTTTATCCATTTTAATTGGAATTAGTGACCATGAGGAGCCCCAATCAGGGCATTGGTGGGCATAGGAAGTTTAACCCTTTCCATGCACCACCATGGTCCCAGTGAAAATTGCCCTCCCTCAAGCTACTATTTGCACTCAGAGAGAAGTTCCTATTGGTGCATGTTTAATGTATTGAGGGAAGGCAGAAGCGAAAAAGCCCAGAGCAGACAACTCATAAATATCCACCACCCACCCTAAAAGAACCATTTGGGACTTTAAAAAGACCTGTGTTCACCAAGGAAAGGCAGAATCTAGTAAGCCTCAGACAGGGATCGAGTAGCATCACCCTCATAATATTTTACCTTAGTATATGCATTTTTATGCACATTCCTTGGCTGGAAAACTACACTACACAATTTGGAGAATTTCAAATTTCAAAGCATGGCTGGGTTTCAGTTTGCACATTTGTTTCCAAAAATGTGAATAAGGCAGATTGGCCTTTAAATGCAAACCGAATCAAATTTCTCAAAGTCAGTAGGTTCTGAATCACCTGCTGAAAGCAATCCTTGAGCTCATATGGTCTTGCAAATAACAGTACATTTTAGCCAGATTTGATGACTTGAACTGATTCCTCCCCTCTTTTTCTCTTTTTCTCTTTCTGTTGCTAAGGCTGCTCTACAAGTGGGAGGCCACGGAGAAAGGTTACACCAATGCCGGGAAGTGACCTTGCTGACGTACAAGTCCATCCCCATGCAAGTGGACGGGGAGCCTTGCCGGCTGGCTCCCTCGCTAATCCGAATCGCCCTGAGGAATCAGGCCAATATGGTGCAGAAAAGCAAGAGGAGGACATCGATGCCTATGCTCAATGAGTGAGTTAGCTCCATGTGCATCTTGGGAAAAGGGAAATGGCAAAGTTGAGCCAAGTCAGTGATGGATCACATTGGCCAAACTATGCCAAACAACATCCTGTCATTC